TATTTATTGAAAGGTATTAATATGTATTGATGTATACTGATAAATATTGATATATATTGGAGAGTATTGACTTATATAGAAAATTGTTACGAATAGGTAGACGAGCTAACTATAGGCCTGAAGAATTACGTAATAAGTTCTTGGATGCCTTTTCTATTCCATGGCTTAAAAAAGCTGAGGATATTAGTGAATATTTGCCATTAGATGAATTAGCTAAAAAGCTTTATAAGATAGAGTTACAACAAATTGCTAGATATAAAAGAGATAGAATACCTGATCTGCTAGTATCTCAATGAGCATCTCAAGAAATATATGACCCTTCACCTATTTCAACTTCTCAACAGATGGCAGATATATAAAAATCATATCAAGATGCATTAGCATAGCAAAAAACTGAATTTCAGTCTTTATTAGAAAAGCAGAAAGCTGATTTTCAAGCACAGATAGACTAGCAAACAGTTGCTCAAAAAGCACAGACACCAACTTCACAAACTGTCAAACCAGTTAGACAGCCAAGAGGTCCTTCACCATTATTGCAATCAGAAGAAGATCTCCAGAATTATTATGTATCTAAATTCTTAAATAAAATAGATTTAATAATTAAGAATGAATTAGATTCAGATTATCCTATAAAACCTTTTCAAAGACCTTGCTCTCAACAAAACCAATCTATAAGAATAGATAGAATAGAATCAAAAGTAGATGAAATCAGTCAAATGACATCTCAATTCAGGAGGATGATGCTTGATAATCAATCCAAAAAACCTGTAGCTAAATCAAATTTTACACGTTACTATCTCCAACTTCCATCTACACAGTCCCAATACACACCTCCAGCTTCAGATAATGAGGAAGATAATAATAGTAGTTATGATGAAGAAAATAATAAATAGATCGGTTATTATCTACCAGAAAAAAAAACAGATACTAGCAAAATACAGCCAGCCTGAAACGTATAATGAGCTGTTGCCAAAACTTTTACTGGCAATGTGTAAAATGTGTTAGTCTCATATAGTTCAGGAGAAAGAATCAAAATTAGATGAGTGGTTTTCATCATTGCAATACTTGCATTGTAATATAAATGATCTATTGATCACTAATTCTTTTTTAAATAGTGCGAATGAATTCGGGGGAGTGAATTATACAACAATTAATGCCCTGGGGTGGAAAGCTGATAAACCTTCTGACTTTGCTATAAAGGGTAATTCCAAACATATATCCGAATCATTGGGATGATATACAGATGTGCCAATTAGTGTAAAGGACAAAGATGGTAAGATTGTTATAGCTACTAGAAATTTTGCTCATATTAATAATAGCGAACCTGAACCAATGTTATGTTTAGGTATGACATAGATTCGAAAAGTTCAAGGTATTCTTGATCCTAATAAAAATCAATTTCGAATGAAGTTATATAGGAAGACTTACACTATCCCAATATTTAGCAAGGCCCCAGAAGCTAAGGTTTCATCAAAAGAGAAGCAGGTCCTAGAGGGTTCACATGATTCAGCCCAAGTATTTACCAATTCCTCTAATCCAAGTGGTAAGAAGGACTTAAAAAAAAAAGTATAAACTGTACAAAGCTTGAGAAGTGGCTCTATTTGGCCTTAAGTACTAGAAAGTTTCTTGCTGACACATGTGAATTCTTATATAGAAGAGATATCAGAAGTATCAACTGTTAAGCTTTTAAGCTTTTTACCATGTTTGACTAAGTTTTCAAGAAGAGATTCCAACCTATCTTCTCTGGATGTATCAGATGAATTGTCAGAGGAAGAGGCTATATTATTTTTGTTATTTTTTTTCACCATACTAGTTGCTTCAGTAATCAGCTTCTCATCTATTTTAACCTTCCCTTTTTGACTATTCTTTTTTGGATTCTCTGTAGATGAAAGGGTGTAGATACTTCTTCTGCTACCGCTTCAGGAATCTGTTTCTTCTTATAAATTTAAAAATTCTCCTCCAAAACAGATTGAGATAAAATAACTCCTTGCTGAAGGCGTTCTTTATAGTCCCATATTTTATAAATACGTTTAGGGCCAATATGAAATTTTTTAGCCATTATTTTTGATGCATTGGGTATCCTACTTCTTGATTCTCTAATTTCTTTAATATCAGCTTCTGATAACAAGGTTGCCTTAGCATCATAAAATGTATCATAGAGACGGGCGACCATTTTTACTAGATTTTACATACTAGAAAAAAAAAAAAATTTTTTTTCAATAAATATTGATACGTATCAATATATATATATCAATACTCTTCAATATAAGTCAATACTCTTCAATATAAGTCAATACTCTCCAATATATATCAATATTTATCAGTATACATCAATACATATTAATACCTTTCAATAAATA